GTGGGTTCGACCGTTATTTTTGCACACTATAGTGTACTCTTCATTCCCAAACAGAATCTGTATGAACATAGGAGGCTGTTGTCCAAGATCCCATAGCTCTGGAAAGAATTGAGGAGAAAGAGGGGAAGGAGGGAGAAGATAAGAAGAGAAGGAAAGAGAGAGGAAGGAGAAGGTAAGTATATGAGTGTACTCTTCATTCCCAAACAGAATCTGTATGCACAGCATATGAGGCTGTTGGCTAAGATCCCATAACTCTGGAAAGAATTAAGGAGAAAGAGAGGAAGGGGGGAGAAGAAGAAGGAAAGAGAGATGAATGAGAAGGTAAGTATAGGAGTGTACTCTTCATTCCCAAATAGAATCTGTATGCACAGCATAGGAGGCTGTTGGCCAAGATCTCATAGCTCTGGAAAGAATTAAGGAGAAAGAGAGGAAGGGGGGAAAAGATCAGAGGAGAAGGAAAGAGAGAGGAAGGAGAAGTTAAGTATAGTGATTCGTGCACTTGCGATGACATTATTTAAAATTGTTCATCAATTTTTGGCGCCGTTACCGTGGATTTGTTTCCTGTGCAATTTGATTTCTTTCTTTTATTGAAATTATTGTGTAATTTTTTTTAATTCAAAAAACAATTGTTTTTGATTTTCCCTGTTCCCTTTATTTTTTTCTCTCTTAATAATTGCTTGATTTTTTTTCCTATTTCCTTTATTATTATTGCTATTTTTTTCCTTTTCAATTTAATTCTATATTGCTTTAAAAAAAATTACAAAATTCTAGTTTTTGAAAAAAATGTATGAAGTTAATTTCAATATGAATTTGGCTTTTCAAATGTTTGAGTGTTAGCAAAACAAATGGAAAATATGTGTTCTATGTCAAGTATGCGTCAAAATAATCCATTTATAAGAATTATAACACGGGTCAAATGCTTGTATATGACTCGTGTTATAATTCTTATAATCCGGGTTTGGAAAATCATCCAAATTTTTCTTGGGATAATTCTCAAAATGATTTTCAACAAAATCATCCTAATTTTCTTGGGGTAATAATCAAAATGATTTTCAACCAAACCACCCTAATTTTTCTTGGGATGCTAATCAAAATGATTTTCAACCAATTACACCCCAACCTGAAAAACCATCTTTGGATAATTCCTTGAATGATTTTATACAATCCTGCATTAGACAGGAAGAAGCAAATGATCTATTTCAGATGCAACAAGAAACTTATGAGTAGCAATTTCAAATGCAACAAGAAGCAAATGAACAACAGTTCCAACAAAATGAGTCTTCCATGAGAAGATTGGAAGTACAAGTAGGTCAAATTGCAAAAGCTTTGCAAGGGCATGTGACAGACAAGTTACCTTGTCAACCTGAGGAACCTGGTGAACTTATTAAAAAAAAAAAATTGAAAGAAAATACCACTTCTAAACATGAAATAATTGATAAATTAAATTGAATAATGATGTTGATATTATTGTTGGAAAAGATGAGCTTAAGTTGCCTAAATCTGAGGAGCCCTATGTACCACCCAAGACTTATGTGCCCCTAGTTCCATTTCCAAATATGCTCAAAAGTTGTGTGCCTGAAACGGTAAGTGCAGAGCTACCAAAAGAATTGCCCCCAATTCCAATTGATGTTCAAGCAGGCAAATTGACCAAAAATGTGCTTGATGAAACTGCTGAGTTTCCAATTTTTAAATCTATGAATCTATGAATTTGCCTAATAGATTTAACCAAGTTTTTGCAGTTAAGAGGTTGAATTTTGCAGAAGATGGTAAGTTGGAGTTTGATAAACTCCAAAAAAGGAATCTTTTGAATGACGTTATCATAAAGCCTGTTACACTTTTCATTCACAAACTGCAGGGCAAATTGAGAATTCCTTGAAAGGGGAATCTAACCAGGGAAAACTTTCTTTATCTTCTTTTCTTTCATCTCACAACATTGGAGACAATGTTGAAAATAAATGTGGGGAAGAGATTTTACCTACAAATCACAAAAAATTTCAAAATTTCAAAATTTTTTATTTTCTTATGTATATTTTCTTGAACCTTTTTATTTTAAAATTCTAGCATTAGCTCGAGCTTTTACCCATTAGATGTTTTAAATAGTCAATCATGAAATAATGCAGTTTTTGTCATCTCTTAGTGTGTATATTGCATGTGGCTAGTTGTTAATTTCTTTATATTTTGAATAACTTTGTCAAAAAAAATAGCATAAATAGAATTTGAAAATCACAAAAACCCTTATATGTTGTATACATTTTCTTTGATGGTTTGTATGTTGGTTTCACTCTATACTACCTTTTCTAAATTCTTAAATAATTCTTGAGTGCTATAAATTGTGGTTTAATGTGTTGGTTCAAGGATCATATTTTGTGGCATAAGTGAGGTGAAAAAAAAAATTAACATATATTTAAAATAAAAATGAGAGTGTTTTATTTATTTTTATTTACAATAATTCAGAGATTCTACTCCGCTGAATCAGCCACCTACACATGTACCATAAATAAATAAATAAATAAGTGTTTTGATCTAGTTGATTAGTTACACACAAAATTGAAAACCCAAACTTGTCTGGCGTAAAATGATAAAGTTTTTGAAGAAATTCTCTTTAAAAAAGTTATAAACAGAAAAATAATGAGTGAACTTTGAAAGAGACGAGCAAGCATTTTAACTTTAATTTTAATAAATGCATTGATCCTTGTTTCCTTTATGTTTTGCACCTGCACTCTGGTATGATGTTTCTGAGTTTGGCTTAGGTGGCATTTGGTGAAATTTTCATATTCATTTTATTGGGATTTGCACTAGAGAGCTGGTCTTAGTGTTGGCAGGAAGGTAGTGTACGTGATCTAGATTTGCATCAGAGAGAGTTGTTGCAATATTGGGTTGATCTTTGGACCACTAGGTTGATCATGTTAGTTTCTTATTCCTCAAATGCGATAGCGCATGCTCATTGTTGCCAGCATCTCTCCACGCGTCAACTTCTTAGTCCTTTGGCAATGTGACTTGCAATCTTGTTGTCTACTCAAGTTTCGGCAAGGTGTTTTGGGTGTGCAATTGAAGATTTATGAAATTTAATTAGTTCCACACATATGATGACGCCAATGATAGCGTATATATTCTAAGGACTACATGCTACGTATGTGTAGAAAGAACAGTATAGAAAATATAGTAAATGAAAATGGTTTTATAGATGAGAGGGCATTAGTTCATTGGAATCTTATAAGCAATCCAAGTTTGAAGCTTCTATTGGGGTCGAGAAACATACTAAGGTCTGTAATCTAAGAGTCTTTTCTATAGAAAATTGACTTTTCTAACTCTAAAGACTAAAGGAAGTATATGTTGAGATGTGGCTGACATGACCCACATATAGATAGGCCACCTAATGGCACATCAAGTTGGTCATGACACATGTCGACTTTAAGGTGATCACAAGAGATGTGACAGTGATAAACTCCTGACAAAAGAAATACAAACTCAGAGGGGTTGGGATCCCGACGACCCACGAGGTAGAGCTGGCCAAAGTCGGGTCTGGGTCGGGGCCGGTTCTGGGCCTCAGCTAGCACAGCTCGGGACTGGTCCATAGTATTCCGGGCCGAAGTCCGAGTCTGGGTCGGGGCCGGTCCTGGGCCTCAGCTAGCACAACTCGGGACCAGCCCATAGTATTCCGGGCCCGGGCTTCTTGTGGGCCGATCCCGGGCTAGGCCTGTAATTTATTATATTGTTTATTTTATTTTAAATATATAAATTTTTTTATAAATTGATATATTTTTGTTTGGAATGAGATTAGAACCCTTAAACCTCTTAGTCTTAATCCTAGTTACCAATTTAAGTTTTTTCCAATTAAGCTACTAAACCTCTTAATACATTAATAATAATTAATGTATATATACACATTAAACACAGTCACACACTTTTCTAAAATTAATATTTTTGTTATTAATCTCAAAATTTAAAATTAACATGATTTTTTACTAAATTAAAATTTATAAATGACGTTAAATACATTTGAAATGTGTAGTCTTGTAGTATTAAAACTTTATATAAGACTTATTGACTTAATATTATTTGATAACTTATAAATATTAGAAAATGTAGTATAGTTTATAAAGTTCATTTGATTTTTACTCACTAAATTATGTTAGATGATAAATTAAAAATTTATAAAAGACTTTTAAATTGGGTTTGCTTTTAATTTAAGGTGAATTCTTGTGATTAGAAGTAAGAAAGTGTCGGATTAAGAATTTTTGTGTGTAAAAATAAATTGGATAAGAGTATTTATAGGGTAAAATGGTAAATAAAAAGAAGAAAAACAAAAATATCTATCCGTTGCACTGGCCGAGAGGCGAGAACAAGAATAGCCTCTACCGGAGGTCAAGCCTAGTCTAGCCTCCGAGAGAGGCTACATGCAACAGCGTTGCACGTTGCAGGGATGAGTAGTAAGTGATAAGTCTAGCTGCCACAATAAAAAATACTAATTTTTTTTAGAATTTTAGGCATTTAGCCATGGAACCAAAGCTGGCATGCTTTGCTGCCATGGTCGGTTTGCCCGGGCCTAGGTCCGGGCCTGGGCCGGGCTCATGCCTGAGCCATGGGCCGGTTCCGTGCTGGGCCTCGAATTTTTTTTAAAAGGACCTGAACCGGCCCTTAACAAGGCGGTTCCAGTTCGAGCTAAGCCCGGCTCAGGCCCAATGAGACCCATGCCCACCTTTTTCGGGCCGATTTAAGATTGATTCGACCTTGAACTGACCCGTGGCCACCTCTACCACGAGATCAGGAAAAACATACTCGAATTGGATTTGCGCGTATGCCTCACACTCTGTATATCTCGATTAGCAATGTCAGAATAGTCAATGATTAAAATAACTAACCGCTCACTGCGCAATTGACAACATTGCAAATTTAATTGATGATAGGAAGTTAGGCACCAACTAACCTCTCACCGTGCAATTGACAACATTGCAGTCATCAACGGCCACGCTGATGAGCAGCTCCTGCTGTTGAGTTACAGTCAATATATCTTTATCACTGCTTATGTCATACAAAATGAAAATATCAAAAACAAAAAAAGTCTAAAAAAGTATGGTACCAATTTCTTCACGCACCAATGGTACATGTTTCTTCCAACCTCTCAATCTACAATTTCAAAGACGATGGACGACGTTTGATTTGCTTTGCTCGTATAAACAATGGTTGCCAATTTTTTGTTTGGGTATAATTAGAATAGATATTATGTGTTGCGACAGGTTTTGAGAAATTCGGAAGAGATGGGTGAATCGGCGGAGAACGTGGTTACGGCGGAGCCGGAAGAGATGGTGGGAGAGAATGGGGAAGGGGCAAACGCGTCGACATTTCTTTCGGAGCTGAACCTTATCCTGATTGTAAGTTTTCTTTCGTTATCCGGCGAGGAAGTCAATTCCTTGGAGACGAAGATGGTGGACAACGTTGTTAGAGATGATCATCGTCCTACAGACCACGCGGTGGTTGCCGATCTTCAGATGAAAAGGCGACGAGTAAACGAATTCAAGGCACTCGGTTCCAGACCGATCAAGTTTCAAACCAAGATCAAAGATGGCAGGTACTCCCTTCAATTTTAATTTCCCTAATATTAATTCATTTAATTTAAAAAAAAAAAAAAAAAAAAAAAAAAAAAAAAAAAAAAACTTTTAAGGATCTTATTACACATCATTGCATTTATCTTACCCCAAACATCATTGCATTTATCGCACACAAGGTTGGAGTCCTATATAGGAGGTTGTGGGTTCGAGCTTTAGTAGAGACTTTATTAAGTTGAGAAAGTAGTTTATGAACAGATACTACAGTATATTGTAGTGGTGGGTTCGAGCCTTAGTGGAGGCTTCATTAAATTGAAAAAGTAGTTTATGAACGAGTTTTTTGCACTTTTGGTCCCACGACTATGATGTCACTAACAACTTTGATGCACGACTTTTAAAACTTGTAGAATCGGTCCACGATTATGACTTTCTTAGCAAATTTGGTCCTTCCGATGCATTTTCCGTTCAATTTTTGCTGGAAAATTTTACTCCTCATTTTAACAAGGGTAATATCGTCTTTTCCATCTCACAAACTAATGACATAAATAAATAAATAAATAAATAAATAAACACAGCTCGTGGTACGGTGATTGAAATTAAAAGTCACCCAATTTCAATTCCACTTTCAGTTTCATGTACCCTCCTCGCTAAACGCTAAAATATTTTAGCTGTTTATTTATTTATGTCATTAGTTTGTGAGATGGAAAAGACAATATTACCCATGTTAAAATGGAGAGTAAAATTTTCCGACAAAAATTGAACGGAAAATGCACCGGAAGGACCAAATTTGCTAAGAAAGTCATAGTCGTGGACCAATTCTACAAGTTTTAAGAGTCGTGGATCAAAGTTGTTAGTGACACCATAGTTGTGGAACCAAAAGTGCAAAAAATTCGTTTATAAATAGATAGTACACTATGTGTGTGTGTGTGTGTGTATATATATATATATATATATATATATATATATATATATATATATATATATATATATATATATATATATATATATATGTTAGAGATCAAATGCCGTGGATGTGTCCAAGTGAAACATGAGGTTGAATGATAGCCATTGATCTTGCCAAAATTAACTGTCCAGATTGAACACATTACAAAAAATTTGGTGGCAATTTGGTAATTTTGCGTATTGTTCAAACTTAAGGTGCGTATTTTTTGTGTTTAAGGTGCGTCGTGTTAATACTTAAGGTACGCCATTTTAATACTTAAGGTGCGTCAGTTATACACTTGAGAACTTAAGGTGCGTTTTTGTTGAAACTTAAGGTGCGTCAGTTATACACTTGAGAACTTAAGGTGCGTTTTTGTTGAAACTTAAGGTGCGCCATTCTAAAGCTTAAGGTGCGTCGTTTCAAAGCTTAAGGTGCGTCCTTTTAACACTTAAAGTGCGTCATTTTAACATTTAAGGTGCATCAGTTATACACTTAAGGTGCATAAGTTCTACACTTAAGATGCGTAATTTTAACACTTAAGGTGAATGATTTTACTACTTAAAGTTCGCCATTTTAACATTTAAGGTGCGTCAGTTATACACTTAAGGTGCATAAGTTCTACACTTAAGATGCGTCTTTGTAACACTTAAGGTGCATCATTTTAAAAACTGAAGGTGCGCGATGTTAAGACTTAAGATGCCCCATTTTAACACTTAAGGTGCATGATTTTACTACTTAAGGTGCGTCTTTGTAACACTTAAGGTGCATCATTTTAAAAATTGAAGGTGCGCGATGTTAAGACTTAAGGTGCGTCATTTTAAGACTTATGGTGCGTCGTTTCAAAGCTTAAGATGCGTCCTTTTAACACTTAAAGTGCGTCATTTTAACATTTAAGGTGCGTCAGTTATACACTTAAGGTGCATAAGTTCTACACTTAAGATGCGTCATTTTAACACTTAAGGTGAATGATTTTATTACTTAAGGTGCGTCTTTGTAACACTTAAGGTGCGCCATTTAAAAAACTGAAGGTGCGCGACGTTAAGACTTAAGATGTGCCATTTTAACACTTAAGGTGCGTCATTTTAAAAACTGAAGGTGCGCGATGTTAAGAATTAAAGTGCGTCATTTTAATACTTAAGGTGCGTCTTTGTAACACTTAAGGTGCGTCACTTTTACACTTTGCATCTTCTTTACAAGCACGTTTTTTTTTTTTTTTTAATTTTCATTGATTTGAGCCGTTGATCTAGATTTGATTAACGGCTTAGATCTCACCCCATCTTTCACAGGAGCTCCTTCGCACATGATCTCTACCATATATATATATATATATATATATATATATATATATATATATATATATATATATATATATATATATATATTCAAGTGCATCCTCTTGTTCCCGGGAATCCCGTGAAACCCTTCATAAATGCACAAAAGCTACTACACGAATGCACAAGGGGTAGCTTTATTCATGTTGGGCGAATTGCACACAATCTAGTCTATGTGCTTACGTGTAGTAATTTTTGTGCATTTATGAAGGGTCTCATGGAACTCGCAGGAAGAGGTGGCCTGGTCTCATTTGATTATTACTATATATATATATATATATATAAAAGTTCTGTTGCGGGGTTACTCCCAAGTAAAAAAATGGAGTTAAATCTGAACCATTGATAAAATCTAGATCAATGACTCAAATTAAAAAAAAAAATATATATGTGTCCTCCATTAATGCTCTCATCTGAGCATCTGGGGTGACAGATAATCTAAAGGAATTCATGAAATTGTTTATAAAATTAATAAAAAATTATTTTATTTTATTTTTTCTTAAGAAGGATAAAAAACAAAAAAAAAAAAAAAAGTTAAGAAGAAAACAACGCACCTTAAGAAGGAAAACAATGCACCTTAAGAAGAAAACTCACACACCTAAAACTTTAGACCGACACACCTTAAGAAGGAAAACAACGCACCTTGAGATGGAAATTCACGCACCTAAAGCTTTATATCGACGCACCTTAAGTTTCAACAATTGACGCAGCTTAAGCACACAAACAACGCATCTTAAGAAGGGAAATCACGTACCTTAAGAAGAAATGTTTAAGAAAAATACCGGAAGGTTTATAAGTTGCTCTTAATTAGATGATATGATATGAGCATTCAAAAAAAAAAAAGATGATATGATATGAGATAGTACAAATTTAAATATATATCGCATCATCTTTCAAAGAGTCTTATCATTCTTATGAGGATCAATGCTTATGTATATGGCTTCATTCACACGGGAATTATGTTTCGTTTTTTCAAGGCATTGCAGAAGAATGTGAGGAGGGGAAACATCGGATATTCCATCAGCGACAGCAGAGATTGTTGCAGAGACAATCTCTTCGTTTTTTTTTTTTTTTTAGAATGTAACGAAGATTCATTAAATCTTTTTTTATTGTAGTCTTTTATTTTACTTTACTTTTTTGTTGGACACAGGTTTGGCTATTGATTCCTTATTTCCTGGTAGGGAAATAGGTCTTTTTTTTTTTTTTTAAATAAATGATTGATGTTTGTAAAACTTTTATAACAAAACATTTGTATGCACGAGGTTATGACAAAAGAGTTACGTGTGCATGTAAGAATTGAAGAAGCTTTCTTGAACAATTCAATTATTGTGCTCCCATTTACTCCATAAAACAAAAACAAAAACAAAACAAAAGCAGTTCCTGTAATATCTAAGCTTCAGTGAATTACTGGTTCAATTCCAAAAAAGGAAAGGAAACAATGACAAGCAACTTCTAAACATCGCAGCAGAGAAAGAAGTCCACAAGGACAAGAAATCAAGAATGGCAACTTCTAAGAAAAAAAAAAAAAAAGCTTCTATGGCCTTGCTCTCAAGGCATCCAAAACAATTATTGTTACACTATTCCTCACGGGTACTTATTCATGACACCATCAAGCATGAGAGCCACAATACACACCTATGAAAAACAAGAGTTGTAGATGGAGAACAAAGTTATGAACACGATAGAACAGGTTCCTAAATCATGAGTTGCAACAACACTACAGCCGTGTTATTGTTTCTCTCATCCCTTACCTGCAAAATTATTGTGTTGAATGAAGATACATTAGTGGCTTCTCTCTATCAGTCCGATATTTTGATCTCAACCCCCAATATCTCCTTAACTTGCTCGTATGTCACGAAAGCAATAGCTATGGATGGAACAACCTGAACAAGTACATGAAAGTTTAGAAAGCTTCAAACTTGAAATAGTCAGTCATAATTTGAGGAAAAACTAAAAGGTTTCTTCACTTCAACCTATCAGCTCCATATAATTCATTCACAACTGGATTACATTTCCTAATTTAGGTACCTACTAGTAGGTTATAATTCACATATCCCAAGAGCAAATTAGCAAAATGCTTATAGGTAAATGCTTTACTTCGTTTTTTTTTTTTTTTTTTACTTTGCCTATAAATGATATAGAGAGATGAAAAAATCTGCCAATGCACTATACAGAAAGATCACAGTTATCGAATGAGACAAACCTTTACTGAATTGGGGACCAGACCCTTGTACAATGCTCTCACACCCTCATGCCGAACAGTTTTCCTAAAAGCATCTATCATGCCAGTATATTCAAGGGCAGCCCTGCCCTTTCCTTCACCGGTTACAATAGATGCAGCATCTTTCCAACCCACCATTTGCATTCTTCTGCGAATAACATCAAGAGGGTAAGCAACAGTTTGACCAATAGTCCCTGCAGCAGCCCCACATGCCAGCCTTGTAACAACACCAAGCTCAGAATCTTCAACCAGTCCAAGAGGGTTAGATTTCAACAGCCAATCTTTCAAAGATTCATAGACAGCAAAGTTCAGACCCACATATGGAATCTGCAGACACCAAACCAAACTTTTTCATTGTACAATCACCAAGACCAGTTGGAAGTACAGAGTAGAAACCAAACACAAAAGCATTTTAGCATATGCAGAACAGAGTTGGAACTTACAACTCCTATGACAGATGGAAGCCAACCCTTGTATAAAGCCCGTGGACCTTCCTCGCGGAGCACAGTTGACAAAGCATGAAGCATTCCCCTGTACTGATAAGGAGACTTATCTGTCTGCAAAGCAGAACACAACATTGGTCACATGCAACAACAAAAGACATTGCAGAAATGCCCCATCTAGTACTTCGTAATATAAAAATTTGATGATTTTTCAGAATAGCTAAGACCATTACTTGGACAGTTAGCCTGCCACGGACCATGTCCATTGGGTATGTTGCAGACATGGCAATTATTCCAGCACAAGCTCCAGCTCCAAGACGCAATAAAGGCGTGAGCTGAGCATCCTCTGCAAATGAACAAGATCAAAGTCTAAAAATATTTCCCAAATTTCAAAAACTTTATAAAGGTACTGGCATCTAACAATTACTCCGTATATCAGAAAGATCCCATTATAGCTTAATGAATTAATAATACTGCGAAGAAGCTCAACAAAACACCAGTGTATGCAGTAACTTCTAGTCTAGACTCTAGAGAAGAAAGAGTACTTGTTTAAATAACAAATCAGGTTCCAAAATGGAAATGAGTTCACATATATTGGGATGGAGAGAAAGCTTATCACCTCATAAATTAAATTATAGGTAGGACCTCGCAAACTAGAAACATTAGCAACTAGATTAGTAAAAAAAAATTATCTTCTTGAGGAATAACTAATAAAAACAATTTGGCCCTGTTTGGTAAAATGGTTGTTAGCTGATAGTTGTTTGCTGTTAGCTGATTGTGTTAATTAAAGGGTATAAATAGTTGATAACATTAGATGATTGTAGAAAAGTGTTTGGTAAATTAGCTGTTAGTTGATAGCTGTTTGGTATAATTTCTTTTCTCAAAAAGCTAATTGAAAAAGTTGCTTGGAGTAGCTTTTTGAATTTTAGCCTTTTAGAGTTGCAAAAAGCTAATTAACCAAACATTTCTATTGATATTTTAACTAAATCAAACAATTAATAGTGGTCAAATAAGCTAAAATTGGCCTATAGGCCAATTTTTTACCAAACAGGGCCTTTGTCTGATGTAAAAAGAAAAAGAGAAAGAATGGTGGGCATTACCCGGTGATGGCCCCTCAATCTGGGGCGTTGGAAGGGTTAAAAAGGGTACAGACCAAAACTCCGGCTTAATGTGCACGAAGTGGCTGTCCGCAACTCAAACCCACATCCCCACGCTTGACAGATTGAGCTTTTACCATCCACCGAGCAATGGCCTTGCTAGACAAAACAGCAGAGCACATGATGAGAAGAAACAGCACAGATAATTCACGTAATCACAAACATCTCTAACAAATACTAGCATCGAGTGCCGAGACTAAAGTCGCTCAAAAATATCTACAAACTAGACATGGAGAAAAAGAGATGAAAGAGATCAAGAATGTTATTTGAAGAATAGGAACCAACAAATACCAGTGTAAATGGAGAACTTTAAGAGTCTCATACCTATTCAAAATCTACTTCTCTCATCCCATAGTTAAAAAGTTGCATGTTGTAGTACATCATCAGATATTGTTAAAACAAAGATTTACATATGAAAGCGCAACACGTGAAGAACAATAGACACATGTCTTCAGTGGCAAACAAAACACAAGAAATCTTATATTGATTTGTAGAATTAAAATGATTTCCTGCCATGACAAGCCTAAACATGAAAGGAAGCACATACCGTTTCCTGTTTGTTCCCTATATAGCCATAAGATGCCCCTGTTTCAATATCAATGAAAGGAATGAGATATCATATAACACAATGCTTTAGTGGTAATGGTAACATGGGATGAGAAGTGATTTATGAATAAACTAATTTAATATCCGGAACTAAAACCTCCAGAGTTACTGTACCAAAATTAAAACTAACAAGTGAACATTCCGTCATTCAGGGAAGTTGCAGAAATCAGATTTTTGTAAGGTAAAATTGAACAACCATGAGAAAACATAGTAATGCTAAACAATCACATCTTTGGACAGGATCATACTTGGAGGCCTGCTCATAGCTGAAGAACTTGACAGCTGAGTTTGGGACGATGCGTGCACAGTTGGTCCCATTACCCTTAAATAATCCTCTGAAGCCCTCAGTTCTCCAGATATATTTTAGGCCTTGAATTGTGCCATTGTATTTTATATTATGAGGATTCTGAACCTGCACATTTGACCACCACACCACAGCCTCATAAAATTAGAAAATGAAAAAGTAAGGTGAATTTTAGACTACACAGACACTAGTAGAAGAAAGTCTTCTCACTATACAGAGGCTAAATTTTCTGAAAAGAAACAGTATTTGAATAAGAAGACATTAAATTTACCTGTAGCAATATTTTTAAGCGTTCCAGAGGAGCAACAGCTGTCCGTGACCTGCAAGTGGCACACTTAAGCACGATAGAAAACCAAACTCATAATAATGAAAACGCTGCAACTTTTTAGCGCGCAATGAATACAAGATTGAATACTACAGCCATTTTAATCCCTGATGAATGAACGAATGAGTACATTAAGATTAAATACTACGCTCAAGGCAATAGGAAAAACATACGGTATTGTTTTGTCTTGTAGCGATATTAATTCCATATGCCATTTCTTTTTCTCATTACGAGAGCAAGCTTTCAATTCGATTCAATCAACACGCATACATGTATGGAAATAGAGAGATATATGTGTAGTTGAACTCACACGCCACCAGCGACACCTCCAGCGACGAGAGACTTGCAGATACTTAAGACGGCATGGCTAGATGGCTTAATTTCCTCCCTAGCGAGCTTCGCCTCTTCGGCGAGGTTTACAATCTTCTCCACCGCCGATTCGCCAGCCTTCACATCCTCCGAAGCCATAAAAGACAAAGCGAGGGAAAAAAGACGATCTCGCCAACAAAAAGATCGAATTATCCGGAGAACTTAAATACCAGAATTAAGCCAAACAGACCACACTACGATCTCGAGTCTCGACTCCTCGATACGATCAATCGACGACTCGGCAACTTATCAAAGCACTTGCATTTTTTTCTCCAAGCGTTCCACACTCTATCTCTCTAGGTGGCGGCTGGCGGCTGGCGGCGGTCGGTGACGGCGGCGGGGAGACAGAGAGAGAGAAGCAGATCAGCACCAGAATGCGGTAGAGAAAGTAATGTGCGTTTTTATGTGGCGGCGTATTTTAGGTTTAAGCGTGGCGTCGCCCACCTGATCCAAATCATTAAATTAATGCTAAATCGAAATGGAGTACAGTACTTGAAAAGGAAATTAGATTCTGAAATTTTAGGGATTTGAGTGGGGGATAAAGGAGTGGCCGTCTGTTGAGTGTTGTTGAATGCGTTACGTCCTTACAGGTGTGCGGGGTGGTTGTGATTCGGAGGGTGTTGGACCACCATAGATGCGTGGTCTCTTCCGATGACTTTGAGGTGCTCGCACATCCACAAATTTATTTTTGGAGGAAATTTGTAATTTTTCACCTTTTATACATTTGAGGGAAAAGTATAAATAAACAATCAATTTGAGAAACAACAATTAAGTCGACGAACATAAAAAAGTTTTAAATTAATCTGCGAATTTAAAAGAAGTTGCAATTAACATTTTTAGCAGGTTACTATTTGGTTTCTGCTGAATGGTTGGTTATATATAATTATGTTTTTTTTTTCTTATTATCCTACTTGGAATACATGTAAACATTTCATCTAATTCAAAGTCAAATTTTAAATCTCTAATTTTTCCCACCTTTTTCTTCTTCAAGTAGTTGCATTTTGACTTCATCCATGTACACCCAAGCGTCGTGACCATTTGAAATGTTCACATTGATGGAAATCAACGACGATTGGGTCAAGTTTTTCATGCTTGGCAAGTTTAGT